GTGTGTGTGTGTGTGTGTGTGTGTGTGTGTGTGTGTGTGTGTGGGCGCGCGCGCGCGCGCATAAATAAGTGTACATGTTTGCAACCATACATACTGTAAACACAATATAAAAAAGTTCAAAGAAACAATACTGCAAACACTAATCTAAACTACCCAAAATGTATGTAGTATAAACACAATTTCTTTGACTGGCCTTTGCACTCGGTCCAGCACCTTTCCCACTGCACAATAAGCTGTGAAGCTCAAAGGTCAGTTAGTGAAGTCTACTACCCTGGTAACCTATTGAAAACATATCCTGGACTGTAAATAATATGCAGTACTATATATGATCCTGAAATAACATTAATGACACTAAGAGTAATAAAAAAAAAAAAAGTAAAAGCTAATTATTCTAAAACACAAATCATAATAATAATCATAACCAACTTTCTCATACTCAAATTTATAGGTTTCTGTTTCCAGGGCTGACTGACAGTATCAAGATTTTTTCTTTTTTTTTTCTTTATTTATTCTTTGGTATGTCAAGGACTGACTCATTGACATATCACAATAACTTATCTGCAATACAGGAAGAAAAAAAGTGCTCACACACTCCTAATTTATCTTTCTACAAAAAAAATGATGACAATTTGCAAGACCAGAAAAAAACTGTTTGCAAGAGAATACGGACTCTGTCACTAAGCAGCTTCAGAACCACCTTGCTATGGAATTTACTTGATATTATTGACAATACAATAATTATTACCAATACTAACGAAAATTAAAATATATTCTAAAAAACTGACAATTCAACCTTCGTCAAACAAACAGGAAAATCAAGTAAAACTGGAAGATTTTGCATGAAAAACTGTCGAGAATCGAGGCAGCGAGAATGCCGCTGGGGGAACACTGACCGTAATAATTGTTCTACAGTAGGGGTATGCATTCCAGGCTTCCTCATGGACTTCTAGAGACCCTTCAGGTGCCAAGAGACGGATGAAGGAGGGAACTTTGCTGCAAGGAGACAAGAGGGGGAATGAGGCGAGGGGTGTGAGGGGTGGTAAAGGTTGGATGGGGGAGAGAGAGAGAGAGGGAGNAGAAACAGTAAACACCCAGCCCCGTTTTTGGGGCCACAGCTTTCAAAATGGTGGCTTGCATCCCTTGTCTACATTAAACAGGCACTGTGGGTAAGGGACTAAGACGCAGTACTCTATACAACATACTAAACGACTTACATATACCTTGTAACATGCACGCGTGTGTTGCCTACCTGCGTTTCATATGGAGAGAGAACATGTACATAACAGCATGACGCATCATCGGTATCATCTTCATAACGATATGCAAAGTTTCCTAAGTAGAGCTGGGATTTGCTTTCGTGACTGATATAGGTATTGAAGATAATTATAAGCAATATTTTGATGCCAGAATGGACCCCAGAAGGGGAACGGGAGTGGTAGAAGATACAAAATGGACGTCTGGCGAAAGTGGTTTTGTTAAGGACCAACACTGTGCTAAAATATGCATGTATTTTGTCGATGGAACAACTAAAAATTCATGAAACAAGTAAAGTCATGCACACACACACACTCATATATACGCATACGTATATATTGACACACATAAGCGCATATATACCTATGTACCTAGACACACACACACACAAACACACACACACAAGTACACACAGATACACATACATTTTTTTACTCACAAGTATTTCCAAAGAAGAAAAAAAAATCGTTTTCGCACAGGGAGATAAACGCAGAGTGGAATGCTCAATCACGGCAGAGCATCTTAAACTCGTCATGGCTTGTAAAAGACTGCAGGTAATAAAGTTGTCTTTTGGTGCATCTCCTGACCGATATTAAATTTGATAAATTCTAAAAATCTATTCTGATCACAAATAGTGAATAGTTAAATCTAACACGCACACACAGACACACACGCGCACATGCACACTGATACACAAACACACAACACAGACAAACACACACACACAAACAGACACACACACACACACAAACACACACACACAAACTCACAGACAACACACACACACACAGAGACAACACACACACATACACACACACGTGTGTGTGAGTTATGAAAGTATGAATATATATATATATATATATATGTGTGTGTGTGTGTGTGTGTGTGTGTGTGTGTGTGTACACAGTCACACATATGTATATACTATACATATATACGTATTATATATATATTATATATATATATAAATATATATATTATATATATATATATATATATATGCGTAATATATATACATACATATATATATATATTATATAATATATATATATATATATATATATATATATATATAATATATAACTGTACACGCGCTGTTCATAATTTTCAAGCGTGATCAGGTCTTCTTAAAAGGCTCATCAAACTGGGATAAACCACAACAAAACCACACCAAAAGCAACCTCCCGCAGTCCCCGAGCCCTGAACCCGGCACAGAGGCTTCACAAAGGCGCATTTGCAGTTTCCTTACTTTGAACGACCTGCCAGCACGATGCATGTTGTGAGGGACGAGGGGAGAACTAGCCTTGTGGTGTTGTTGCTAGGATGAACCCTTGGTGCGGTACGATATGTTTTACGCTATGATGATTCGCTAATGCGGATATTCTGATTAAACGTTTTCCGAATATTTGAATATTTGCTGTTTAATGTAGTGGAAATTAACTTATTAAAAGGTTACGTAACCGCTCAAATACGATTACCAAATGGCGTCGGGATTTTTTTTTTTTTTTTTTACGTAAAACGATGTGAAAATTGTTCATCTGATTTGAAACGTATTACGGATGATGAGAGAAAATAAATATCAAAGGAATGGGAGAATGACCTAACATCTAATTCATAAAAAGCAAAAATCAGACGAATAACGTTGAAAAATTAGCCATTGCCAGGCGTACAAAACAACCCTAATCATGGAAACCATAACATTCGCACAAATGGTTATATCCTTTTCATTCATAAACACCGCACATAAAGCAATACGATTTTGATCTTGCAATAATAAAAAGAAGCAAATAATATCAATTAAGCCTAAAAAAGAGAAAATCTAAGTATTACGTAAGAATTTATAGAACACCATGACCTTCACCAACAATCTACGGTACTCCGCCTATGGGGACGTGGCATGGTGCGCCGTAGATACTGTGCACACGGCCGGAATAGGGTACACGCATGGGCTCTGGCAGTCTATGTGTGTTTTCCTGGATATGCATTCGTCTGCCTCTCTCTCTCTCTCTCTCTCTCTCTCTCTCTCTCTCTCTCTCTCTCTCTCTCTCTCTCTCTCTCTCTCTCTCTCTCTTCTCTCTCTCTCTCTCCTCTCTCTGTCTATCTGTCTCTCTCTCTCTCTCTCTCTCTCTCTCTCTCTCTCTCTCTGTACATATATATACACATTCTTTATATATGATATATATTTATATGTATTAATTATATGTATAATAGATATATACATATCCATCTATCTATCTATCTATCTATATCTATATCTGTCTATATCTATCAATTAATCTATCTATCTATCTACCTCTATCGATATCAATCTGTCTATCTTACTATATACACATATATATGTATGTGTATGTGGATAGGCACGCGCGCACGCGCGCGCGCGTGTATGTATGCATAACTATATACATACATATATATATATATATATAATATAATATATACATATATATATATACATATATATATATGAATGTGTTTACACACACACATTACACACACAAACACACACACACATACACATACATTTATACATATATAAATATATATATATATATATATATATATATATATATATATATACATATACACAAACACACACACACACACACACCACCCACACACACACACACACACAACACACACACACACACATATATATATATATATTATAATATATATATATATATATATATATACATATATATATACATATATATATATATATATGTATATATATATAATATATATATATATA